TATTTATAGTTTTATTAGAAAGTTCTAGTTCTTAATAGAACTTTTATAGCAATTCTAGTCCCGCCTAATGGGACTAAAATTTATGATTTTTAGTCCTATAGACGGGCATGGGAATTTCCTATGGACAAGGTTCCATGGGCATTGTCAAGGCCKAGTCTTAGCTGTGTTCTATAATTTAGAAATTAATTAATATATAAATATTAGGTATATTAATATTATAATTAATTCTATAATAATGATGGCAGCTATATAGTAAATACTAGCATAAAAGCAACCTCGATTCGGCATGCGTCGATAGAGAAAAAATAGGTGCGCATTTGACGAGGTTTAATAAATATGGTGAGTGAGGATTACAGAATTTTTATACTGGATGCTATCTATTTATCGTCTTGAATTCAAGTAGGCGATAAGTATAAAATTGATATGGTAGCCCACATATAGCAGTAACAAAGGTACCGTCAATTAAAAAGCACAACGTCTTTCAGCAAACCTTCAAAGCCTGCACCTCCAATTGTTGCTAAGGGAGCCTCCACTGCAATCTCTCTCCAGACAAAGAATTCCCCATTAATCCCCGTCTTGGTTAGAAACTCCATTTGCTTGACATCTTTCTCGTTTCCTTCCTCTACAACAAAGTATGTTGCATTCCCTTCGCCGATCAGACTTACGTTGGTCCACGTATTTAATGGCAGGGAGTAGTTCAACGTGTATAGATTGCCTGAGGCGAGAAGCGTGATATTACTAATGCTTTCGTAGCCGGCCAGAAGTGTAGAATCCGCTCCTGAAAAGATGGCTCCTGAGGTGTGGCTGGTCGGATAGATAGAGAACGATAGAGTGTAATTGCGTCCCTTGGAAGAAAGCGGGGTGCTCAAGGAGCAGTGAGGTGTTAGTGCAAGCGTGTCATCGACAACCTGGCAATCAGTTATACCATCATATTTGTTGCCCGAGGAGTCTATAACTATTGGGAGATGGGGCTGGTTTTGAAAGGAGTAGGACAGAATAGTGCTCGATTCAGAAGCGATGCTGCGATCTAGATTTTGCCCAGGAACAGACGCGTGCAAGGTGGCGAAGATTGCATTGTATTCGTCTTCCAGAAGCGTTCCGCCCCATTGCTTATCTGCCAACGCTGGCAACCCTTCCCGCCAGGCATAGTACGCTTCGCTATAAACGGTGGCATTGGGTCCATAATCATTCCATAATGCAGCAACATGGCCAAGTACTAGCGGATTATCTCGCGGAGGGTTGTTGGTCGCATTACTTGTGTCGAAAATGTTTGGAGCATAGGGCTCACCATTTGGTGCACCATAGAACACGCGTGTGAGATTGATTGCCTGTGGGTAACTGCCAGAATACTTATTGACAACATAGAATGCGTCGTCCGAGTTAAGTACCTGATATCTATTCGCAATGTAGTCGTAGTACGGATTATCTTCGAAGAACTCCCAGTGCTGAATCGACACATTCGTTGCAATATTATTACTGTAATCGCTTGAAGGTGGGAATGTACCCCAAATACGTATGGATTTATTTGCACTCGTCCCCATGAACCTGTTCATAGCATTCACAAACGTATTGTATTCCCCTACTAGTGCACTGTTGACGCGTTAAATCGGTGTCTTGCCGAAGTATTGAAACTACTGGAAGGGATCAAAGAACTTACTCCTTTGTTAGCGACGCATCAACATATTCATCGGCACCGATGTGCACCGTCTTGCTATGAAACCATGGCAGAAAAACTTTCCAAATCTCCTCCATGGTAGGGATCGTGTTTGAAGTGCTGATATTTAGCAGTGACATATCAGAGGACATGCCCAATTCAGGTTTCCACTGAGTAATCACTAAAGCGTGACCGGGCGCTTCTAGTTCGGGGACAATTGTTACCCCTCGTGCTGCACATTCCCGCTGAATGTTGTTAAAATCCTGCCAAGTATACGACTCGTTGGCTTTCTTGTTCAGACCCGCAACAACTGGATCTTCAGAACGTAGCCGGAACGTGGAGTACAGATCCATTTGGCGTTCATAAGAGTATATGTCCACATTGTTATACAAATTATCGCTGAGATGGAGGTGGAAGGTGTTTTGCTTGAAAAAAGACAGGTATGAGCATATCTCGATCAGGAATGACGGTGGATAATAGTGACGCCCGACATCAAGCATGGCACCCCGAATCCCCCAGCCTGGTGCGTCGGTGCCAGTCCCAAGAAGCAATTCATCATGATTGAGAGCAGCTTGTTGCAGGACTGTGCGAGTTCCCCACCAGACACCCAAAGGGCTAGCACCAGTGATAGTAATACCTGTCTGCGTGATGGAGAGCGTGTATCCTTCAGGCGTTTCCCGTGAGGCAGCATCAAGAAAGTCTCCTGGACTGCCAATGGTGAGATATATATAGCCTTTTTCAGGTAACATCTCGCTAGTATGAACCGAAACGTTGATATTGCCCTGGTTTTCCTGGAGGTAGGAGTTGAGGTCTTCCGTAAACTTCGTAGCAAAATCAAGCAATGTCGGCGGAATCAGAGTCATGCCCCGGGTGTCGCTTGTCAATGCATATTCTGGATCAACAAGAATCACCTGAACATCTTGTAATTTGAAAATCTCTTCCCCGGCGGATTTTGTGAAGGGCACGGTGGGAATCCCTGTCAACCCGTCATCCGCGCCGACTAATCGACCGAGACCTAAAATGGCGAATAACCATAAGGACTGCATCTTGCTCTTTCTGCCCTTTGTGCGTGCAAACGTGCATATCAAGATTCAATGGCTTCTCTTTATACAAAATACTCGTCTGGTTTGGAGGAGTACGGAACATGCAAGGATACCATGAATAGCTACCTAATGATAATCGGCATAATACAGTCTACTATAGTTATTGTAATGTCATTATCTATCGATCTTCATGCCACCTTCCCTTCTTGTATAGAGACAACTTCCGTGTAGGCGGGGTTGCCGGTTAAATCAACGAATTGATGAGACATGGCATCCCTGTACATTACGATCTGTCCCTGAGAGAGTTTTCGGCAGTCCAAGACCTATACTACCGCCACTCGCTGGGTCCTGATAACATTCCAGGGTAGCATTGGAAAGTCGAAAAGTGAGCAAGTAGAGTCCACATTTTTTACCCGTATGGATAGCAATGGCCGATCGCGACCGTCAGTGTAGTCCATATCAGAGATAAGCCCAGACCCCGCTTAACCATGTTAGAAACTATCTCAGGTTCTCAGACGCTTTTTTACTTGCGCGTTACTTTCACTGGTGCTAAGTCCCTTCGGGATGGTTACAATCATGCTAAATTTTATGTCTATAGAGCGGGGAACTCGAACATATACTGACCAGGGTAATTCTACGTCTAGGTTGCAACTGGAGCACAGGCCCAGAAATTGCTATGGTTTCTGTAGGACTTTGGGTAGGGCCTCGAAGTATCAGAAATATCTATTAACTTGCGCTTTCTCCATAAGATGGTTTCTTTTGTGTGTAATTATCCCAATATTCCCATGCCAACCTTACTAACCAAATAACGTAGCGTCACCAAAACAAAGGACCTCATGTTCCCAGCTGATCACTTTCAAGAGCAGCATACAATACGGAAGATAATGACTCCAAGAAGCCCCATCTACTAGAGCGACCCGGAAGACCAATCAAGCGGTGTATGTGAGCAACACTGGTACTTGTATCTTCGCCAAATAGCTGTCCAGAAAAGCTATGGTGACTTATAAATGCTCCTACTAAACAGATCTCGATAGCGTCGAATGGGTTGTTATCAATTGTATGCCTAGCCTCCTGTATCCCTCCTGTATCCCCAATATCACTATCAGAAACCCATGTCACAGCTGCCGTGAGAAGAGCTCGATATACATGGACTATGAGTATTGATGACATCCGCAAGCGCTCAAGGTACCACTGGATCAGCAATGCATATATTATGCAACTACTTTGATCTGGAGAAGTAGCCCATGATCAGGTAAGAGGAACGCTCGAGATGGCGGAAAAGCTCGCCGTCGCGACCACTTGCTTTTCCCAGGAGGTCTATATTAGCGTAGACGATGACATAGATTGAGTGCTATGGAACTAATATAATCAAACACTTTCAACAACTGCGTATAGATTCAGGCACGAGCAATTGCAAGTCACAGGTCTCATTTAGTCGCTCTCCTCAGTATCCTGCTTTTAACCTAGTCGTACATAGTAATTGTGTACACATTGTTTCTTAGATGGGCATTAACTACCACACATATCCTGCACACAACTCTTTCTGATAGCTTTTCGCCATGTAACTCCTACTCCGGTGCATGCAGGAATCTCATGTGAACCCTATTGAGATTCGTTTCATGGACTAGTATTCCCATATGTTAAAGACATCTACTACATCTGTCTGCAATCTCGAAAAAGAAATCGTTCTAGTCTTTTAAATTCTCCACAAGTAATACTAGGACGTAGACATTGTTCTCATCCTCATTCTGTCACCCCTCAAGACGTTCATGAAAACTTCCTCCATGGTTGGGCCAGTCAAGTTGTATGCCTTAAGAACCGTTTTGCATGACCGCATAGAGCTCCCCGCCACACTGACTGTGGAAGCGATTCTATAATTTCCAGTCAAACACTCCATTCCGACCATGGTCTTTCCTAGTGCTGTTCGATCGAAGGTAGTGTGGAATTGGACGAGACCACCTGCATCCCAATAATTCACGATTTCTATATTCCACTGTCCAAGAACTGCTCTCACTTCTGTCTCGGTCACGTATTTGTCGACGGTATCCAATCTAAGGGCTCTGATTTTGAAAAAGTTGCCGTATGTCTCTTGTAAACCTGAGAGTGATCCTGCAGCGAGCATACGTGTAGATATAATGGCGACTTTGCTTGCTAGTGCTTCAGCTTCTTCCATGCTGTGGGTAGTGAGCAAGATAGCGCGGTGCTTACTCACACGCCTCAGAGCTTGCCACAGAACACGTTTAGCTCCTGCATCTTGTCCGGTGGATGGTTCGTCGAGTAGTAGGAGCCGTGGGTTACCCAGGAGTGCAATGGCGACCGTTAGTTTACGCTTGGTACCACCACTCAGCGCTCTATGTGCATGGTTTTTGAACTGAACAATATCAAGAGCCGTTAGTACCTGAGTTACATTGCTCTGCACATTTCTGAGTCCTTTCACTGAAGCGTAGAATGTAAGTGTCTGTTGGACAGTGAGATTGTCAACGGCATCTTCTTGGGGACACACCCCGATGTACATCCGAGCCTTGCGTGTTTGTTCCACAACCGATATTCTATTCACGTGGATGTTTCCATGATCTGGTTTTAGTTCCCCTCGAATCATGTTAAAAAGAGTAGTCTTGCCTGCCCCATTACCTCCCAGTAATGCCATTGTTTCATTCGTCGATATATCAAAGGATATATCTTGCAAAGCTGGAGTTAGACCGAACTGCTTGGTTACCTGTGAGATACGTAACATTGCTTCGTTAGGAAGACCGATCTCTGGTGCGTTTCCTGAAGCATATTCTTTAGTACCAATGATTCGTAAAGGAATCTCATCATCGTCTTTGATCTTGTGTTTCGTATCTTCATGTCTATATCCGCCGATCACGATCCAGGATCTTGGCCGCTGACGTAACCAATCAGTCCCCCCATATTCATATACACCTATACATGCCATAAGAAATACAATCTGTAGAACAAGATTGAAATAGACACCGCCATATCGGGAGAAGGCGATGGGGTTGGAGACTTCATCAATACCGAATTTTCCGCAAAGAATGTCGAATGTATTCATCGACAGCCATAAAGCACGCGCAAGGTTTGCCCCAGGAGAAGTCAGGGCAAGCCCATTCTGAAGGGATGTATATACTAGTGGTGACAACGTTTTATGTTAGCTAATAGCAAACGAACAAGATACGAGCTGTACACATAAAGAAAAGGGATGAGTACCATCTTGTCGTGTAAAGTCTGGACCTAGATATTGATTCATAACGTATGCGGCCAAGTAAACCAGTGAGAGCGTGACATGTACGCCTCCTGCAATGGCAAATGTTCCCCGGCTAAAAAATATTGATACGAGATATGTGCCGAGGTAAGACGTAATACCAAAGAGAACAAAGCTACCAACCAAGTAAGATGGAGCGTATGAGATACGATTGCCGTTAGAACCAGAGAACAATAGTCCCCAGACAACCAATGCTATTAGTGAGTGTTAGTAGAATCATATAGATGACTTGGGTATGACTATTGGGTCAGACTTGCCTTCAATCAGAATGAATTGAATATCAAATAATAAATGAGCAACCCACAGTGCTAGAGGAGATACTCCATTGCTATACTGAAGTGCTCTGACGTGGGAATGTTTTTCATATGCTGCTCACAAAATCAGAATTTTCCTATTTTCGATTACCAAAGTGAGAGATATACCTGGGTAAATTACCGCAGTAGAAACTGCAACAACAAATGCTAGGATAACAAGCATCTGGAGAGGCAGAGTCCTCCAATCATGCTTTATAGGGATATGATTGAAAACCTGCACTGTGCTATTGACTTCTCGCGTCGCCCCTGTTGCTGCTGTCATATTGCTCATTCTATTTGTCACGTAGTCAAATGCTTTCATTCCAATGCCTAGAACTTGTAAGCTTCAAGATGGGTCAAGATGCGTCGCATACTAGAGTTCAACCAGAGGAGAATAGCTTACCGATTCCGTACGGACTAGCCGCATGAAAAAATGTATTCGTTCCCGGTTCTGGAGACCATAACCCAAATCCAATGAATCCTTCGGCATCTTCTATAGTTTTAATAAGATCATTTTCATCTACTACTCTATCCACATTGGTCAGGATAAGCTGAGCAGATGACTCGCGGTCTGTGCTATCGTATTGGTCGAGAAAGGAAGACCTGGATCAAAAAGGTTAAATTCAGCGAGAACTAGGTGAAACACAGGTAGTCAAACATACAAACTATTCACGAGAATCTGGTCCTGCAAAGTTCCCGAAAAGGAGCTGTTAGGACCGAGAGCAGCAAATTTGTCGCCTCCTATGGATTCAAAGCCTTGAATATTTCCTAGGGGCGACCCGCTATAAAGATAATTCCGCTGCACATCACATGTCACCAATGTATCCCAATGCCGGATATATTTGGAAAGAGCAGCGGCTACTATAATTGGAATTGATAGGTTGATGAGATAAACAAACCAACCAGACCGAAGCAGCATGTATCTTTTTTGAAACAAAACCCACACTTGCCGAAGCAACCCAACATACCTGCCAGTTTCAAGGTCTAGATTTGGAAAATCACGAAACTCTTCTTCAACAGTTTCGGAAATTTCATTGCTCAGCGTTGTATGTGTCATTTCGTCTCCAATCATTCCATCGACATCAACACGTCGTGCTTCTATGGAGCCTGAGGTGACTCTAAGAAAAGCCTGTTCCAGTGTCGGGKATACGACCTCGCACAATTCGTTTGCACTTTCCAATTCAATAACCTTGCGTGTCGCCTCGGTAGAATTGCTCAGTTTCCAGATAGTAGATTGATGCGTATCTGAATTTGTGATACTGGTTACCCGGTAGCCATCCCCATATTGGTCTTTTAGGCCAGTACTCGGACCTTGACAAACAACACGGCCTTGATATAGGATAAAAATATGATCTGCTAGTACATCGGCCTATTTGGGTAATTCGCATTCATCAGCCTTTAGAATATAAGCCCATGCGGGCACGGCCATAGGGCTAAGAAGAGCCTTAGAACAAGGAAAGATAAATACCTCGTCTAAAAAATGCGTTGTAATCAAGGTTGTTCGCCGGCCTTTTCCTTTTGTAATAATGTCCCATATATTGCGTCGTGACAACGGATCCTATAAATACAGTCAGACATTAGACACCCCTATTTTCGTATGCCAAAGGCGCCTACTAATCCGCTGGAAGCTTCGTCAATGCACACCATCTTCGATCCTCCCGCAAATGCCATTGCCAACTGTAATTTTCTTTTCTGACCGCCACTCAATGTCTTGGCTGCTGCTCCAGATTTTTCGGTGAGATCGCACTCATCTATAACATCTTCGTCATCGTTCGATCCGATCCCAGATGCAGCATTTCGAAGCTTTCGCCATATTTGGATATGTTCTTTCACAGTGAGTGACCCCCAGAAGATCTGTAGCAAAACTAGCTCTTAGTATAAATGTTTTCTTTCAATTTGCCTCCATGATAAAGAGAGCTCACATTATTTTGCGGGCATATTCCGAAGTCTTCATTCTCTGACTTCAACGCAATCTGAGAACCATGATCGACAGAAGCCATACCAGAGACACATTTTAAAAAGGAAGTTTTTCCACCACCATTCGGTCCCAAAAGAAATGTGATAGCACCTTCAGCGACTTCGAGGCTTACATTATCGACGGCCGGCATCTCTGCCTGGGGTCGACTTAAAGGCCAATACCATTTTCGAGGAAGGGCGAACGTCTTGGAAAGATTGGTAACACGCAGAGCAATGCTTTCAGAAGGATTAAGTGTGGTATATTTTCGATCCACACTCCACATAATCCTTTCGACGAGCAAGGTCATGAGCGAATAGAAGAGAATTTGAAATATAAAGAATCCAAAAAATAAAGGTGTGGTAACTGATTCAAAAAATAAATAATTGGCCTGCTGTTCAGAAGGGAGGGTTTCGAACACCTCCTCGGCAGCAGTTTGGGTGATCAGTGTTGCCCAAGTTGCAGGAGGGAAGACCAGGGCAATTCCTCTAACTTGTGATGGATTGGGATTGCCAGCGAGACTAGCAGCGAGTGTTACCAAAGCTAAGGCAAAGACTAGGATAGAAGAAGTCATGCCGGCAATAGACGCTTTTTGGAAAAAGGATCCGATAAAATGTGAAAAAATGATCACCGAAATGCTGCAAAGCACCATGAAAATGAGAAACAGGCCAGTTGAGGTGTGAAGAAAAAGGACCTCCGTGAATATAACAGAGCAAATGATCAAAGCTGGAATATATAATATCATGAAAGAAAGAATATTTGACAATATTCGAGGAGTAGCGCTTATTCTCTGCGCAGCCATAAGCTCAGCAAACTGCCTCTCTGAGGCGACAACGGTGCTGATATGGTATKCCGCTCCAACGAAGACGCTTATAAATATCGGTCCAACAAACTCCTGTATTATATATAGCCAAAATTCTTTGTTTGCAGTCTGGAGGTCCACTGGCATAAAGTTTGAATCGTAACCTAGTTGTCCATTCCACAGTCGCTCGCTGGGCCGTGTAACGTTGGTTAGATTGCTCAAACGCGAATTGATTTCCCATTGAAGGGGAAGCATATATTGAGATAATAAGGATCCCTGGTTGTCATAGCTGGCAGGGTAGTTGTTAAGAATGTCTTCACTGACGGCAATGGTATATTCCACATTGGTCTCATTGAAAAGAACAAAATTCACAGCAGCAAAACATTGGCCGGCTCCTTGAAGAGTCTGTGGACAGGTAGTAAAGAGCTCTTCGGTCTTGTCAAGAACTTTCGTATCGATGTTCTCCATGCCTGGAATTGAAATGACAGCCTGAATTAGGTCTTCCAGATCCGGATCGCTGAAACCATTTGTAACAAAAGCCAATCGAGATGTTGATGTGTTGTTGATCGCTTTCGGAAGATCAAGGACTAGGTTCGAGCTATTGCTAAAGCCTGTTGGTCCGAGGTTCGGGTTGACAGGAGAGATATGTTTCAAAAAACACAGAATGAGCGCAAGGGCAACAGGGACAATGCATGTTCGGAGCAAGGTAGTTATAGGATTCTTCCAAGCAATAAGAAGGTTTTTATGGACGAGAATAAGTGTCTGATGATAGATTCGTCGAGTATTAGATGGCATAGCCATTGTCACGCTGTAGAAGATTGATAGAACAAGGATAAAAACATCACCCTCTATCACTCMCCTCCAACCTGTAACCGCCACTCAGTATATAACTATTTGTATCTAGATATGATCATACTTCCATGCGTGTGTGCGTACTTTTAGATCACTGCATATGTAATACCCACAGTTACCTGACCTGATTGGACGGACATAAGATGCATCGGATCGAAGTAGGCTGTGATTCGCCATTCGATCCTTCAACACTGTGACTTAACCAACAATGGAGACCGCTCCAACAATGTCTCACAATACACTGTGGGGACAACATTCACCATGCTCATGCGAGAGAGGCAGTGCTAACTGAGCCTCTCTACTATACTGATTTGAACATAGAATACTTAATCCGGGGTTCAGATCCTACTTTCCCCACCCGCTAACCCCTACTTAACTCAAGAGAAGGAATCCATAATGCTAATCGGTCAGCATGACCCGTATTCTCGTATATTTCATTTAGATGTCCTCATTCGGCTGATATAGAAATCCAGAAAATGGTTCCATTAGCCATGAAACAACGCCGGAAAAAATGACATGCTTAATGAGCTTAAAAGAATGAAGCTCACTACTAATGTATTTCAAGTGCCATTATTGTGGTACCATCCCATTACAATCAGTTCGAACTGGTCGGCATTGCCCAATTCAAACACAGGAAGCTGTAACAGGCGTATTTAAAATGGTTGAAACGTATTTTTTCTTTTCAGGAATATAAAACAATATCCTACCAGTAGAATGTTCTCAACTACAGTGAACTTGAGCATTTTCCTATAGTAATTAAGTTGGCGCTAGTCCTAATAAGGGGGCGCTAGTTAAGTGTTATGAAACCAACTTGCTGTTACGAAACCAACTTGCATGATACTAGGCAGAATCTAGTACTATTAAAGGAAAGTGTTCAGTTATAGCAGCTATGTTACGAAACCAACTTGCATGATACTAGGCAGAATCTAGTACTATTAAGGGAAGACATTTATTAAAGCAGCTAACACTATAACTAGTCATTTCCATAACTAGATACACAGATAGTCAGCTAAAAATATAAACTTATAAATAATATAAATAGAAATTATATAACAATATATAATCAGAAAGATATAAGAATATAGAAAGATTATATATAGATAAAAAAAGTAATTATTAAATATACACTAACATCTATACTAGAGTGTAGAAGAAAATATAGAAAATATAATCTTGTCGTAAACCGATGATTTGTAATCGTCTAGATCAGAGTAAACTCGTCACTTAATGGTGGTTAGGTGGTATTCTGTTTAGGAAAGGGCAGTATGCCTAAGTAATAACAAGAGAGCTTTTAGTTAACTTAGATCTATGAGTAATAATATACTTAAGGTTAAATAGTTAATTCAAGATGATAGACTAAAATTAAATATATAATAAATGAGTGTTTTTATATATCCTATTATTAGTAGAGCTAGTTGAGTCTATGACTAATAATGACTCTATTGACTCTACTTGAGCTATTTAAGCCTTGCTCTAATAATAGCTCTATCAGCTTTATTACTCTAATTTTAGTGGTTATAGATAATTTTTTGTTCTATCTTATATTAGCTTTTATATATAGGGGCCTAATTTATTAGCTATGACTTCTTAATTTCTCTAATAATTTTCTCTTCTAAAGGCTGGTGTTTTAATAGTATAATAAATAGTCTATGTTTTCCTTCTGTGTTATAGGTATATTTTAATTTCTAAAATGCTAGTATTATGATAATAAGCTAATTATATCTTTAAGAAAAATTATTAATAAAAAGAATCTTACGTCCTATATTAAGAGTTCTAGAGTAGTTCTTCTTATTCTGTGTAGTTACTGTGCAATTAAAGGTCTTTTTTATATAAAATCTGAATTGTTGAGTTGGTGTAGTAAGTATATTAAATTTAGTTGGTGTAAGTATATTAATATGGCTTTATTAGATTTTGTATGGAAAAAGTTAGTTATAATATAAGATAAGATCTATGCTTAGTGTTAAGAAGCTAGAGTAAAATTATTGGAAGCTGCTGCTTGTTTAGATTATCTTAAGAAATAGAATGATTTTCTTTATAAGTATGCTGGCTAGTTTATTTAAATAAATATAAAAGATGTGGAAGAATTAGAAAGATTAGAAGAAGAGGAGGAATAAAAAGCTGTGGAAGAGTAGGTGAAATAGGCTAAGGTGTTAGTAAAATAAGAGGTAGTGTATAAAGAATAAGAGTTACTTATAATAATGTTTAATTCTAATGATTCTAATAGCTTGGCTATAAATAATTCTTCCTAGCTTGCTTCTTTTTCTATTTAAAGCTAATTATTATTTAATATTTCTAGATTTTATTATAATAATTCAGATTTGTAATAGATTCTTATAAATTATTTTCTAATAAGTATTCTTTTTATTTAATTAAGTAATAAATCTAACTATTCTCTTATTTTTAATTTAAGATCTTTTCTATTTTATATTCTTTGTCATCAGCTTTATTATTTCTATTTTCTAGATTTTTTATAGGTTCTAGTAGCGATATATAAAATATTAAATATATTTATATTCTTATTAGTAGCTAGAGTTAATAGTTATTATTTTTAAGTTTTTTTATAATTTWAAATAGTCTATATTTAACTATATTAAATTTATCACTTGATCTT